GATGAGTGGTGTATGATGAGTGGTGTATGATGAGTGGTGTATGAGGAGTGGTGTATGATGAGTGGTGTATGATGAGTGGTGTATGATGAGTGGTGTATGATGAGTGGTGTATGAGGAGTGGTGTATGATGAGTGGTGTATGATGAGTGGTGTATGATGAGTGGTGTATGATGAGTGGTGTATGATGAGTGGTGTATGATGAGTGGTGTATGATGAGTGGTGTATGATGAGTGGTGTATGATGAGTGGTGTATGATGAGTGGTGTATGATGAGTGGTGTTTGATGAGTGGTGTATGACGAGTGGTGTATGATGAGTGGTGTATGATGAGTGGTGTATGATGAGTGGTGTATGATGAGTGGTGTATGATGAGTGGTGTATGAGGAATGGTGTTTGATGAGTGGTGTATGATAAGTGGTGTATGATGAGTGGTGTATGATGAGTGCTGTATTGAACAGCTGTTGAATGTCCGTAACACGGAAGTTTTGCACACTAAACTTCCTTTGACTAAGCACCAGTCAGCAATCTACGATTCACCATGGTACCTGCTTCCAGTACCATGGCACCACTGACGTGTCCACTTTGGGTGGCCTAGATTGGACGCTTCTCTTGTGGAGTTCATGGAGGATATGAATACGGTTTATGGAGGTGCATGAATATGGATTAATGGACATATTTATGGTTCTTCTGTCTTGTGTACGAATCACATGTTATCACATGCATGGTTGTGCTGGGGGTGATGTGTATTTTCCTGCATCTTCTCCATGGGTGAATCCCCTCCATAGGGAATAATTTTTATTTGTTCCCAGCTTCCTGGGCAGCAAATCCAAGTATTGGACTCATCTCATCTCCTACGGCAAGAGGCCCCTTTTGGTAGAGCTTCCGAATCATATCATCCCACAAACAATTGCACAATCCCTCATACTCCCCTGCAGATCGACATTGTCACCCCAAAAAACCACCGGGACTGTCTTCGGAACATGGTCTTCCATTTCCATCCATCTTCAGGTTCCATGTTTTCCTTTGCAGTGGGAATTCTTTCCCGGCAGGACAGCATCTAACTCGCTGGGTCGTCCTATTCTGATGATGCTTTGCCCCCCCACGCCCGCGACGCCTCCATCCCGAGGGGTCATCGGCAGCGGCTCCTATCGCGCCGATTCGAAGATCTGCATGGCGGCCTGGCCACTGGGTCGCAGCAGACGATGGGCTGGTAGCGTTTGGGTGGATGGGCGTTGTGTTGTTGGTGCGAACGAAGCGCAACGCTACAAAATCCGACTCGAACTAACTTATGAAGGGTGACTACCGGGTACCAGTCCTCAGCAAAATTTGTTGGGAGTTGTTTGTTGATTCCTGTCATGAGAGGAGGACTGGTCAAGAGCATGGACATCAACTGCCTCCCTGGTGCCACGGAGTGATCATATCGAGATCCTTTGGGATTTTCGATTCACCCCAAGAACATCCAAGAACTGTCTTCACCTTCACCTCTCATGTGTTAAAATCTTGAGACCTCCCAGGCGTTCCGAACCGTAAGAAGGAACATAGACTTCCAGGCCCTTTCGTCTACCCAGCCAGGGCCAGCGGGTCTCCCGGTATGTATCGATCCCGTCCCAGTCATCGGATCCATTCACCAACAGTCATCCTCCCATCTGCGTCCACAAGCAGAATCAATATAAAAAGACAGAAGTTGTCTCATGTAGTCTCGTGTTTTTTGAAAGTACAACATATTATGTTTTCTTTTTTTTTTTTTAAACGATGCATGTTATTCTTTTTTGGGGGTGTTATTCATCAAGTACCAATAGTCTATCATAGTCTATCAATTCATTAAACACCGTCGATCGTTCGTGGTGAAATAAAAAGAAACTCGCCAAAGCCATGAAACTGAAGTTCGCGAACGAGCGAGGCATGCTGGAGTGCTTGGCTTTTGGGGCGGCTGCTTCGAGGTGCGTTTGCGCAAGAAGAGCGACGCAGAATGGAGTTTCCCTGCCACGAAGAGCTTTGGCCTAGCAGCTCAGGCCGCATATATAGGTTTGGTGGGGTCTTTATCCCACAGACCTGGAGACCTGAACAGGGCAGTTCGTGTAGACCGAGAGGAGACTCCAAGGGTTGGTGCGGTCGGTGTTTCACGTATGGGAGGTCCGTCCGTTCCGGACACTCCATGGGGTGACAGATCCGAGACACAAACCAGTGGGAGGTGGCATGAGTTTTCATATGACCTTCATATGAGGTGGTGAAACAGAGGTCAATAAGTAAGTATTCCAGTCCCATGGAGTGTTTGGGTATGATGATGTGTCAATGAGCATCACAGAGATCGAGAACATGTGCCTTGGGGAGAGGGTTAGTCCAAGGGAATATCATGTAGTATTTCGGGCTCTCCTTCTTCACTGAGAGCTCCAACCAACCTTCATTCTCCTTGACCTCTTTCACTCTTCCCGCTCGGGCGGTGGCCGAGCCGCCCAGTCCGTCGACGCCACTGCTCCGTCGCAACTGACGGAGCGAAGGAGAGTTTGGCCTTTGACTCCTGGTTTCCTTTCACCATGGAGTTTCGGCCGAGTGCAGGCACCGGGTGAAACCCAACGAGGACACTCGACGGGACAGGGACGGTGAAGACCTTGATGGACCATTGGTGAGGGTTTGGTTTTAATTGTTGGACTGCTGGAATTGAAGAGCACCACATGCTGGGCAGAACATATATAACGACACAAACTCCATAAAATGCAATGATCACTGAAGCCATCGTGAGTCATAAGCCCTTTCAGATACCTACAAAACACCTGCTGAACTGAACCGTTTTGAACGCCTTGAAAACAGCAGCTGTGCTTTTTGCGCAGCGCATTTGCTCCGGGGAACGAAGGTGCCCAGCACTGCGGCTACCAACAGGCGCCCACCTTGCTCCTTGGCAGCAGGAACATAGAGGGTGGGAATGAATGTGCGTGTTATTAATGGGGATGCAACTGACATTCTGAGTTACAGTCATTACCGATAGACAGTACAGTGGGTATAAGTATGAGACAGAAGTAACTGAAAGTAAGGGGGTAGAGGATGAGAATGGTGACACTGCCCATGCCCCTTTTTTGCCTACCAGGGTGCCCTATAACCGGCTTCAAGAATCCTCAAGAAATCCCAACCATTCTCATGTGACCTCTAAGAAATTGCCGCAAAAGGCTCCTCCAAGGTTGCTCCAACGGCTCCATCTCTTTGGCTTCAGGCCGTTGTGGTTCTTTGGACCGGCCGGTTCCGGCCAGCCAATCTTCGCTAAGCTGCTTTCGAACATGGAACTCTGCAAAGCCAGAACCCATGGAACATCATGGAACCATACCATAGATGTCAAAACCGCTCCTGGTCCTTTGGGGGATCATTTCAATTCAGGAACATTTGGGGGATGTGATGCGCCGTACCGATAGTAACAACGGGCATCGCTACCGATAGTATGTGCTACTAGTAGCTGCTTGTTACTAGGAGCAATGGCCTCCAACCTACTTGCCATGGCCTCCACTGAGCATTATGTCCTTGCTACTAGTAGCTTCTTGCTACGAGTAGGCCCGTGCCTCCAGTGCTCCTCGGATTTGTTCGTCTCCTTTACCGCCATGTCTCCCGAAACCGTTTCGTTCACGTCCGACCGATACATCTTCATAGGGGTTTGTACCCAGTGTGAATGTGAGTGTGAGTGTGAGCGTCAGTGAGCGTGAGCGTCAGTGAGTGTGAGCGTGAGCGTGAGCGTGAGCGTGTGTGAGTGTGAGAGTGAGAGTGAGCGTGGGAGTGAGAGTGAGAGTGAGAGGCACAAAGTACTGCGCCTGCCACGAAAATTGCACTCAAGGTCCTGAACGCTTATAGATCCGCAGACCTCA